GAGCTTTTGCTCTTGTTTGAAAATAAAAATACATCGTAATATAAGCAAAAACTAGTACTCTTTATTATTTCTTTATACTATGTGAATGGAGATCTATACTGTAAGATTCGACCATTAAACCGATGGATGAAAACGGATTGCGTATGGATATTCAAAGTCATCTTATTTCCATACATGAAAAATCTAAAACATGACCGAATTGAATACTTGTGGACCATGTCCAAACAAGGATACAAATTCCTTTGAAAATTACGCTTTATATTTYTATTCTAAACATATCGAAATTGCTTATAAAATAAAAAGCAGTTTAATGATAAGGTGCCAGCATTTAAGGATGGRTTATAAGTGGTATGACGTAGTCCCCCTTTGTCGAGGGCTTAACTGGTACATAGTGCGTAGGKAAGTCCATTGTGTTWGGTATAGTACYKTGCTTGGAAACTTAATCCCTTGTTGGATGAATGCCACTAAACAATCTCATAACACATTAAACGAGACCTTGTATTGAGTTTGGAGGCGGAACGACAAAAAATTCTGAACAAATTTCAACAGAAAACACTATAAAGCAACAATGAAAGTAAGCTTGCTTTTTGTATCTCAGCAAGGTTGATGTAAGGSTAGAAGACGTCAAAGACGTAGGTGTTTACGTAAAGAGAGACGTAAGCATTCACTTAAGCTTTGYTTTAGTGAAGATACAAGAACGAGGCGTGTAGAAAAGTCTTTGTCATATGTACACTCAAGAAAAAGCTCAAGGAAAAGCTGCAACTATAGTAGAAACGTCTGTTTTCGCAACATTTTAGTACAGACGCAAGACTAATACGTATGAAAACGTACACGCACGCCTTCAAACTATACGTCTTATTCACTGTACCTCACTATAGAAAGCGCAAAGCAAATCAAAGCGTGTGCGTATTCAAATATTTGCGCGCGTTTTTACATAACGCGTAATAGTAGCATGAGCACTGCTTATGGTCATTSATACGTATCGAAACGTAAAGCTTTTACTGTATATTCTGCCGTTCATCAGTGTTGGTATGAACGTAGCGTAAAAATGTATTATACCCTACGCGTCTCTTCACGTTTTCTTACGTAATGATATGGACGCATCGAAATGTAAAGCGTATCTGACAATCATTTTTATGTAGAGGCAAGAACAAAACTATCCAAACGTATCCACATATTTACGTTTAAGCATGATGTTGTTAAGGAAGCAAAACTAAAACCTAACAAAATATATGCGTTTTTAAACCATAGTTATATCAACTATGTTTAAACTAAGTAAACGTGCAGTTAACGAACTTCAACCAAGCTTCGAAACCAGATGTCGGATCCAACRCACAAAGCCGGCTTCTTTGAACTTACCGACATTATAAACTATACTGTCATATTCGCCTAGAGCAGAATAGTTTCAGAAAGTATGCGTTCCTTTCAATGGTCAAGTGTAGAACAAGACTTTTGGATACTTTTKGTTGTCATACTTTTGACTTCTAAGAAATTGGAATTTACTTAATCAACAGAAAACGCCAACAATGGTTTTCAAACATACAAAAGATTAACCTAATAATAAACACAAGTTTTATAAAGGCTTTGTCAGTTAACCAAATATCCATTGAAAGCTAAATTTACTCTATAATCAAGTTCATAAATATTACTAAAATAAACATGTACACTAGGGGTTTCCTTAAGCTTGGATCGAAAATATCAATAGATTTGGACATGCACTAATCAACACAGCTTACAGTGGACTATCACACAAACTTTTTTACATTTTGAGTTGTGTCGTAGCGCGTCGGTTGCAGAAGCACTCGTTGTGCAATTCGGTTTCCACAAAGAACTTTTTTGTTAATCAAACATTATTTTACACACGAATTACTCCACAATTGAATCTCCTCACTACAATATACAAATGTATAGTTTGTTTTTGCTAAACTGCTTGGTTTTATATCATACTTTTGTTACTGTAGGTACAAAGTTTAATTCGGTTTTCATAAAGAAATGTTTTSTTATTCAAACAATATTTTACAAACAAACTTACGGCTATGCTATTGAATCTACAATCCCATCAGAACAAGGATATAGATAGTTTTTGATTGCTTTGAAATACCTTTTTTAACTTAACAGGCTTGCCATAGTAACATAGCGCGGTTTTTTCAAAGAATKKTTTTGTTAATCAACTAATATCAAAGCGAATATTTTATACATAAATGTACTATGTCCCAATAGCGAACAAATATAATGTTTGTTTATGATAATGTGTTTTATTCGTATTAAATTCGTTAACAGACGCACTAGTTTGTTTTTAATTGTGTTACGAAATAACAAGTGGATTTCCTTCTTTCCGGTGTACATGATCAAAATACTCCGGTTTCACCGGAATGTACTGGATGACCAAACCTCTTCTTTGTTACTTCATCGAATGGCAACGGAAGACGTAATCCACTATYAGATGATTAAGGAAAAGAGAATTTACCAAGCCAAGGTTAATTAGAGGGAAAAAAAAGGAGAATTTAGGAGGGAATACAGATTTTGTGGAACTTCTTTTTGCGGGTACCTCTGTACTTTGGACAACCTTTAACTTCAACTCAAATGGTCTTTACACCAAAGACACATCTATAAATAGGGAGTGTACTAGAACAGAACGAGTAAAACCTCTATATTACGGACACCTCTGGTCTACATTACGGGCACTTTAAATACCGTGGTCGTTCTGTGTCCGTAGTATGGAGTTTGCCTTGAGCAAACGTGTTGGTTTATAGAGCACTTATTAGCTGTTATAGTTTACACYATTCTATGTTGTATTTTTTCTAAAAAAGAATATCTTTGAGTATTCATGATATAATTATTTAAGAATACACCAATTTCAAAATATCTTTTTGTAAAAGATCAGCATTTCCTTTGTCAATTCTATAAAACACTYATAGAGTTTTTTATTGTTCCTTCTTGAAAAACATATGTCTTTGAGTGTTCAAGTTATAATTGTATAAGAATAAACTTAGATGTAAAATAACAAAATCTTTTGTATAAAAAAATACACAACTTTCTTCAAAATTTTCTTTGTTTGATTATAAACCAGTTTAGYTTMAARGAGGAGTGACTGTAAATATGTAGGCGTTACTCTGAGTTCGAACATTTTTTGCGTTGGKACTCCAACGCCATTAGGCAAGGCGGCAATGTCTTAAGATCAAATCACAAGGGACCTAATTATAATCAAGCATAACATGTCCCTGAGTTTACAAAGGAAACTACTGATATGCTTCGGTGAATGATGTAAGCCGGTAAACCGTCAATCAAAAAAATCCTTTGAAGTGTTTCACCACTATGGCTAATAATTTGCGCGCTTTTTAAGCTTGGTGCAARGCGCGGTTTTTTTCTATAGCGCGCCGCATTTGCAGGGGACGCTTTTSACCGTGATGTYCCCGAAAAAGCGGCAGCCAAAGAGTCGCGAAACTATGCTTGACACGACAATTTTGCAATGCACGCGCGGTAGTGTGCATTCTAAGTGCGCAACGACCATGACRCTCGAAGTGATCCTTGAAGCACTTTTACAACACATTCGCCTCGACCGTGAACTTGTTCTTGTTTAATGTCAATAGTGTTGTTATTTAGCTAAGTAGAACAAAGCGCGTTTGGCCCGACCCGGACGGCCATGGCGCATAGGCCAACTCGGCCGGAAAGGGCTAGGGAATTCTGGATTTTGCGCTAAGTGGCAGGGCCGAAAGCCTCCACGTCGAAAATTGACGTCATCTACATAACAATGTACGCTTTTGCTGAATAAATGCGTTGATTTTCGAATGCAAATCACTRGCATGTTGTGTCATCAGGCTGGATAACAAGCTCATATCGTTACAAACATAGATACATCTAATTTGAATGATATCAAAAACAAGATGTATTAATTCGCGCGGATTTTCTCAAAACCATAGTAAATATTTGTTCAGTTCGTCTAAATATTTAACCCTGGTTGGGTRTATTTGTCTTTTGATACTTTCAGATAGGACATTAATGTGAAATCAAGTATATTATTAGTTTTTATGGTGAACAGAATTCTAACATCCCGCTGTGATGTCGAAGCAAATACTTTCTACTTCGACATAACTGATTAACAAATCACCCATGCTTAACTAGCTCTATACCGATGCACCGAAAAACATCCACCACAAAACCCCAAATTTTCAAAGTTTTCCAAGCTCTTCGACTCCTRTGTGATTAATTATTCAAATAAATACGGCCCGGACCTCTTTTTCTATTGTTTTTGTTCCTTTGATGTTTGGAATGATTATGGTAATTAAAATTTCTAAAAGGTCTTTTGTTCACGTGCAACGTTGAAATGTAAATAGCATTGTCGARGCTTACAAACCAAAAGGGGAACCAGTGTTTGAGGCCACTCAGTTGTCAAGTGCCATTCAGATAGAGCTAAGTTCAGAAACATCACAAACATGACTTCAACAACTCCAACAACCCCAAAAGAAGCAGGCCACATTAAGAGGCCTATGAACGCWTTTATGGTATGGTCGCGAGCACAGAGAAAGGCAATCTCGCAAGAATCACCACGGCTTCATAACTCAGAGATAAGTAAAATTCTCGGGGCAAAATGGAAGAAGCTTAGCGATGAAGACAAGGCACCTTATGTTGACGAAGCCAAAAAACTACAGCAACAGCACAGCAGAGACCATCCCGGCTACAAATACAAGCCAAGAAGAAGAAAACCCAAGCAGAACATGCTGAAAAAACCCGGTTATCAGTTTGGCTACCCGGTCACAGAACAACACGCCGCTTTCAAGATGGCAGGGTATGCGCCGAACAACATGCCTTCACCCGAAGCAATGTATCACCAGCCATTCTACCAAATGCCAAGTCAAGCAGGATTTCATCAAATGTATGATATGACTATGCATGGAGCAAGACAAGCGCACACGTACTCAGCCCCGCCACCAACACACAGTCCAAGCGTCCCTGATCTCTGYTATCCTGTAAGATCAGGCGAAATCATGCAAAATACCCACATCTATGGAGGAACGATGGAYTCGCCACCGACTACAAGCTCYTACTCAGCATCGCCAAATATCCACATCCAACAATCACAAGAACACAACTCGACGTATCCATCGCTCTTTACGCAGCGACACATGTAGGGACTTTAGTTAAATATTTATCTAGTATTATTATTTTTGTGTAGTGTTCTTCAAGTAGGATTCTAATTCGTTGATCAACACATTATTTGTTTGGCATTTGTTTTAGTTGTTACATTGAAGTGCGTTTGTTGATAGCTTGCTCGTCTGTGTTTGCCCTCGAGTTATATGTATTACGAAGTGATTTCTATGAACTTTGATGTATCAACGGTCAGAGTCTCGTTAATTTATGTTATCTCGCTCTGATAGGATATTAACTCTGYACCGAGTCTGATAAATGCCTTTTTTGACTTGTTTATTCTTTGATCGAAGTGATTATTTATGAATTACATGATATTCTAGGATCTTTGGCAAAATATTGCGATCCGCGAATCTGAAAGTGAACTTTTCACTTCTCGAAAAATCTGCTCTTGAGTGATAAGTCTCTAAATTACATATAAAACTTTCTTATTTAGTTTATAGACATTTATCACATCGCATTTTACTCGCATTCTTTACAATTATATCGATTTTATAACATATCGGCCCTGYCAACATTGCCACAACTGAGAAACTTTCTGTGTTCAATTGAACACGCACGATGCGGTCATCKAGATGTTTTTTAGTTAGAAACATAAATCAAGTTAGCAAATTACAAATGAAGAATTGCTGTAAAACAATTCTAAGTGCTCTATAATTAATATAAGAGTCAATTACKGTTATTTGAATGTGGGCAACAGAGAGACTTTTACTATTGAGTTGAGTTGACCCCGAGAGTGAACAGTTCGTAGCCATGGAAAGCAACTCGCTAATCGAAAAYATGAAACTGAACCGCGAGCGTGAGTCAGTATTAAGTTAAAACAATWAACCAYAGTTGATACGCGTAAATCCAAAAGAACACTTGAGCTGTAGTTAACTTCTGTCTAGTTTCTATTGAATGGAAGCTCTGATATGTCTATCTTTTCTAAAGGTTTTTATTCCAAATTCGCTAAGCCGTGGAATTAGAAGGTTGCAGTACAAGAACTTTACAATAGCTTCGTTGTGTTTGAAATACATAACATTTGTCTGCAATTCTTTAGCTAATTGTATCGAGTCTTCGTGTTCAATGTTGGTTTATTGTATTARAGACTAAGGGAGTTTAGATAACTTAGGGGGCAAATACAGTTCTTTTTGCGGCCTTGTAGTTCAATCAACTAGAACCGTTAGCTCGCTCGAACAAAGATCAAGCACTTGAATATCATATAGTAATCAAACAACGAACAAATGAGTGTTGAAACGTTTTACTACTCGATTAATATCTGCTGAAAGTTATTTCTGTGAATGGACAAGAAAGCAGTCAAATTCAACTGTACACACCAAWCTTTATATATCAACTATTTATACTCAAACCTTGGAACTGTAAATGTATGAAGAATATTTACTATAGATTGTACACAACAATGTGAATATATCAATCTAAATTAGCTTTTTATAATGTTTATTTTTGAGCAAATATGAGTATTTGACCAAGACTTGTGTGTGTGACTTGATGTATTAGCTATAGTTCAAAGTTAGCCATCTATTTYACTTTTCCTCGATATTATTTGCACTGATATGTTGTGCAGTGATTTTTTTTTGCGTCGGCGAAGTTTCTACTTTATGGATGTGTATATATTTAAATCTAAATTACAATTAGACTACCAACAATTAAACATGAAGTATAATACTTTGGACTAAATGCAAGCTGGTATCTCATCGACACTTTTAAAAAAATTAACTCCGTTTGAATAAAAGAAATATCCTGTATCTTTGTAAACGTTTCTCTTCAAGATGGCTAATGATAATTTAAGGGGAATTAGTGGGTTGTATCTGACTAACAGTTAACAAGTTAACCCTCAAAACACTTGATATATAACAGGAGTTTTCGAGGATTTTATAACAAACAGGATTTTTTTCCTTATGCCAYAAGATGATAAATTTTCAATTGATTTTAGCAAAAACATGTCTTTTCAATTGTAAAATGTCTATAAAGYGATAGATTTGTCACTCATATTCGTTTGAAGACGAGAACTGTTCATTTAATAGGAAAATACTAATTTTATTAGCAAAAACGATGGTGTTTTTGGTTCGTTATTTCCCCCTGATATATGTATCCTAGTTCGACTAAAAGAGATCCATTCTGGAAAGAATTTCACACTAAGAGATATATATTCTAACAGTGCCTCCCGGCCTAATTAAGTCGCATAACGAATATCTGAAGAAAAATAATTAGATATGTTTTATTGTTATGGGTATTATGGTTTTACAACTCTAATTTTTAATTGAAAAAAAAGAGCGAGCCTTACACATCTCGATTTCACATATTACATATTCTCACTGTGGTCCATCGAAGTCAGATGTTCAAAACTCAGTGGGCTGGCAAACTTGGTTAAATTAGACCATACCCTTTGTGTGGTAGAAAGCTGGAGGTTTTGATTCAGAATCRGTCGGGGTTCGMAGCTTCSTTTTTTGTTTATCACCGCTCGCTTTGTTAACTTGCAAACATTTCACTAGAAATTTGCTTATTGAAGAAAGAAGAGATCGACAATATTGGTTTTATTTTGAAATAGACGGAGATCCTTCTGGATAAGTTAATTGTTATTAATCTTATTTCAACATAGGGACAACAAACCGTTGACCAGCCAAAACAGCTACCATTAAATAAAGCATTTCCTGCTTCAATCCCTGAATTCGTGCATCTGGTTTTKACTTTCACTTAACGCTTTCGCCTCAGTTCGAGTTAAACTTTTTCTCCCTGGCGTCACAAGGAAATTAAATTCTTAATTAGTTTTGCTCCGTTTGGCCAAACATGCTGTTTYGCCGTGTCGTATACACAGTTATCATAAAGGRGTCTCRCTCACGGAGTTATGAAACCCAAACGATTTTCTGTTTCCAAAAACTCTACTCTATGAAACGAAAGAACACTCCAAATATTCCAAACAAATTGTTCAATAGGAATTGTTAAAAAAAGATCCTACTCAAAAGGTCGATTGTTCGTTAATCTATGGGCTTTGAGGCTGCATGTAATTGTATTTCGCTAATTCAAAGCGCTCAAACAAAACAACCCCAAAAGACATTCACTATGAACAAGTCCACCACATTGTCTAMGGATCGAATATACAACATAGGCATTCAATTCACCGATATTATCAGCAAGTTTTAGAGACTGGGGCTCCTGTCCGATAACATTTCTGAATACTTACTTTTTAATGAGTACGTAATGAAAATAAAAATATCGTTTGTCGATGATGTGTCTCCTGACAGGTGCAACCCCTCCCTCARGTAGGCAATTAGCGCGAGTTTGAATTYGATAATAAGTTGTTACACATACTAGATTTTCAATTAAATAAAATATTTTTTGTTCTTGAGGAGATATTGATTGATCAATTAGATAAGAGATACTAACTACGTAGACATTTTGTCTGTGTAGAACTAGTAAATAGTTTCGTTAGCTCACAATCTTTTGATCAATATCAATTTTTTTTGCCGAGGTATATTTTACCTTTTTAAAAATGGCAACTTTAATCTCAAAATATCATTGCGCACACGAAAATTCGTGTTTTAGAGTCAAAGTGACGATTATAACCTCTAGTTTCTATCATTTCAATACATTTTACAGAGGGCAAAAAATTTTYGAAATTCAACACAGTTCTTGTGTAGAAGAACGCCCTAAAAATAGATTCGACTTTGGGGTTGGGAGGCAGGCACACGTGTGGTATAGTTGGAGCATATTTTGGTAAGGTGGACCCAGTGGGGGGTACCCTGAGGTGCGTTTTGAATCTACTTCAGAGAAATTGGCTCRCAATGTTTTTGAACTTTCATTTTGGGATGTTACTTTGCTCAAGAAGGCTTTGCGCTCATCGAATTTATTGAACAGAACTTGTATTATGTTCAAAGACACGCCTACCGTCTAAAGCAATGAATTTTAAGTTATTTAGTCCGTCCCGTTATAAAACCACTGAATTCATTTGCATAACATCAACAAAAGGTCCGTTGAATGCTGTGTACGAAAAYGTCGACTTTGTCCAACGGAACGCGCCCGATTGCGTAGTAAAAAGGAGCTRACGTTCYCTTAYAACTGATATTCTTGGTAATTCAAAAGCGAATTGACCCAATTGATGTTCTCTGAAGAAAACAACAGAGCCCTAATTGCGTTTAGAATAAATGACCCGGATACAATTCTTCTTGAAGAATCGACCCCYACAGTTTTRTAAAACTAATTGATTCTACAATAGAAATTGAGCCGAGTTGTGATGATTTGGACGGGTGGTTATCAAAGCAGGGTCATCGCTGAAGGGTCATGTCCCAGTAAGATACCAAACGAACTTTTATTATCGATCTAACGGCATGTTTTTTATCCACAGCGTGAATAAGATAAAGAATAACAAACTTGCAAAATATTACACTTTGTGTGGCTTTATTATCATGGATAGAAATAATAAAATACTATTAAATGTTTAAAAGTGAATTTCCCTCACCATAAAATGCGAAGTCAAGACCTCCTTATTTTAACAAATGAACGGCACTTTACCACAATTTACCAACTTTTCACAAACATCAATAACTAACAAAGAGGAGCTTATTTATTAATGYAAAAATCACAATGCAMTGCATTCTTGAATTCAACTGAGTTGCAGAAAACAGTTCCACCTCTTTTTATAGTTACAGTACTAACTATGCTCTTTCGAGGAATTCAGAAAAGTACAAATACTTAGCTAAATGTCGAATGTCAGAATAACTTCTCGATATTGATAGGTAATTATTTTTTTCAGAAACAAACAAAGAGAAAAATATMTTTCTTAATTAAGAGTTGTAAAGCTAAATTGTGAGATGTTGTTGTCCATGAAGTATTGACAACAGTACGCTTGGCGATAAGTGATGAGGAGTAATATAAAGGAAATGCAGTATCTCGTTCTTKGAGAATTTGTTAAGTGTAGTAATCAAGGATTAGGGCCCATGTATTCAGGATTTGTTCACATGACAGCTCGAGAAAAGCTAAATTMTCTGTCCTAAAGTAGTCAAATGAACGAGCAGAAGAGCACAAGAGCTGTATAAACGAACAGAACACAATATCTTGGGTCATTTTTGTAGGAAAAATATGCCATATTGTCATATTTATTGTAGTGTAGATTTTAAATCATAAGAAAAACAGAAAAATGTGTATATGATGTATGTGATTCCGTAGTAAAAACTTAACGAATGCTAAAAAAAGAGCAAAAAAAAAGTTAATTCATATAATTCTTCATTCAAAGTTTATATTAATTAATCATAAATATATAATACACAATTATAATCATTATCTACTGCTATCCCATGCGTCATTTCGGCGCCAGCTTTTATAATCTACCATGTTTAATACGATTCAATATTCAATCTATTTTTATCGTAGTCCAATATTCCGTTTTGTTAGCTTGTAAATATTGGTTCAAAACACTTCACTACTCTCATGAATTTTCCCGTAGAAAATTTAATTACTTGTATAATCTTAATATTGAATAATTACATCAATTATATATACCTTTCAGACGGATTTATCACTTTTTAGGCTTTTGATTAAGTTTTCAAATTTAACTTCGAAAGAGTTCTTGTAAGTTGAGTTTAAATTYGAACCTACTAGCCTTTTTCCAGAAAAAAACCCGTTAAAAATTAAAGGTTAATGCATAAATATTATGAAATTTCTTTGGTACCAGAATTCAGAGTACTTTTGTTGATATTTCCATGCAGTTTTTTTAATTGTTAATGTAATGATTGCCATCCTTAATTTAATCGTTATCATAATCACAAACACAATCCTAAGTATCTAATTAGCGTCATATTGATATTACATACATATTCATAATTCCGTAAGGTTTTTCATAGTAACCCACGCACAATTATCTCAAACTATCGATTTCACACAGCATAGGTCRCTAAAAAAGAAACATTGTTACTTTGCTGYTGTTTTTCTTTGTTCTCTTYAAGGTTTCGAGTARGTATSRMACAAGATGGCGATATTTTCTCGCCTAAGCATTAAAGTTTACCAAGTAAAATATCGAATGACTATTAATTTATCGATTAGTGATTTAAAATCAATTTGCTACAGTAAAATAGATCCCTACCAGCCAATATCGCGTGTTATTTTAACTGGTATTGATGCTAAATAAGATAACAAATTAATTTTGATACGAAAMGAGCCGGCTACTTCCACCCCGCAGGCATCCTCCACTAACATCACGCAAACCGTTCGTCCGTCTAAAATGATTCGATGGTTTGTCCCTTTACTCTATTTATAACCAAAKCACATTGTTCAACTACAAAAAGATTCATATTTAGCTTGAACTAATGGCTGTGGCTAAATAAAGAGAGTTTTGTTTGTATTCGTGTAGCAGACAATATCGACGTGGACGGGTTTTTTGTCCTCTTTTGTCTACCATGTCATAAGGGTGTTGTCTTGAACATAACCTTAAGCTCTTTTGTTCGAAATCAAATGTGATACAACGGTTAGATCTCTGCAAAACGTGTATCACGAACGGTGTGGATGACCATYCTGGTAGGCTAATAAATCAAATTATTTGATCAGTACTGTGATATTATTTTATATTGAAACAAAACGTTTCGATTTGTGTTTCCTGTATGTTTTTTTTTTGGTGTAAAAGTTTGAAGGACGGTCACGAGAGATTTCGAGGCAAAAACAATCTCTTACAATCACTACATTACATATATTTTTCGATTTTACACTAGTTGAAATCTTTTCGTTCTCCTACTGACGTCTATTCGTTGCCACCC